GGCAGCCAGCGGTGCGCACGGCACTGCGCGCGCCCCAGCGAACCCCTGCCACCCCGCGGCTCTGCCCAGGTTCCAGCTAAGCTCCCCGGGGTGCCCGTCATTGCCTTGGGTGACTACAGCGTGTTTTTTCTTCTTTCCTTTGCCTGTGTACCCTTCCCCAGGATGGCAGAGGCGGAACTGCACAAGGAGAGGCTGCAAGCCATAGCAGTAAGTACACTTTCATTTTATTTTCTTGCTCTATTGTCTAGGGTGGACGGGACTCTGAGGGCTTCAGGGTGAGGGGCAAGCCAGCACAGTAGTCGCAAGCTATGTTGGGGAGAAAAGTCTGTCTAGGCTCAGCGATGCTGCCTTTGCCTTTATAGGTCTGTAGATCCAAACCCCCAGGGCGCGCTTTGGACTGGGGAAGACTGGCTTAGAAAGAAGATGCTTGCTGCTGGGCTTTGGGGACAGACTAAACACAGGCTGGTGGGCGATTTCTGGAGTATTACCACCCAGTGCTCAGGAATTCGTTGCCTTCATACTCTGGAGAAGGGAGAGACTGGGGACTGGTGGCTTCCTTCCTCCAAGGAAGTCGTTCTCCTGCTAAGTGGAAAACCAGGGGCCAGCTGCTCAGCCAGCCCGTCCTCGCAGAATGCCAATTTTCCCCTTCCCTATTTGATATTGACCTGGCACAAGCCATCATTCTGGAAGGGTCTGGGGTCTTCTTACAACTGGGCCCTGGGAATAATATTCCAAGAGAGCCTCTTTCTTAGGGTGTGGGTTATCTGAATCGGAGAAGCTCTTCGCAGCATACAAAGGAGTGAGCGGTTTTGGTAAAGTTCATAGGCACTTTCAGAAAAGTGCACCCATGTGCATGTTGGGTACAAAAGGAACTCTCTGGGACTGCCGAGATTTGTGCAGTCGTGCCAGGGTGTTGCCAATGATCCACAGATGTGGTATTTCTACTGGAGCCACCACAGCTGGATTATATATTTCCTTTGCGGATGAGGGAATGATTATGGTTGCTCTATGAAGTAATAATAATTATAAGAGAAAGTCCATTAATATATTGGCACAAAAGAGTCGCCAGACATTCTTCTACCTAAAGTACTGGTTTGTTTGTTTTTTTGTTCGTTTTTTTGTTTTGTTTTGTTTTTCCATTTTGGTCCAGGAGTTCCCTGGAAACACATATAAATTTGTTGGAGAAATGCCATGTAATGTTTTGGAAGCAAAATACTGTACTTGAAAGAATTTTCAAAAGCCTTTGGACAGATTCCTCAAAGAAAATGCATGCAGGCACCTCTTTTTAAAGAAGCGTTCACTGTGATCCCTGTGACTCTAAGATCCCCTTTCTCTGACTCTTCACGTCTGAAAGCCTTGGAGTTCTTGCCCATGGAAGGAGGGAACCCTTTGTTGTGAAGTGACTTGGGTTTGCCCCTGTGGCCGTCTTTGATTGTGGTCTTCAGAGCTCAGGAAGACTTTTCTTTTCTATCCCTTTCCCTGGTTTATGTATACTTTGATTGCTACAGTTAGTGGCAAGGCAATGCAGTAATGTGTCATGAGCTTCATAAGAATGGAGATATTTAGTTATTGGTGCCATGGAGCTGCTGGGTGTTTTGTGTAAACTGGATAATAGGCTGCTTTAACTGTTGACCAAGTGGCTGCTCCAGAGAATGTTCAGTCGCTCCCATGGGCTGCTGCTGACTGTTTCCAACAGTTGACACATTTTCAGCCTTTGCATGACCAGCTTCCCTGGCTGCCTAAGGGACAGCTGAACCCCTTGAAAGGACTTGCTTTCTGAATACAGAGCCCGCGGCAGCTAACATAGCAGCCACCCCTTCCAAGTGGGGTTGAGTAATCCCAGCAGAGGCCAAGTACACTTTCAAGAAAGATCTAGGCAATCTTTTGGAATTCTTCTGTGAGTATGAGAAGGTGAATACCCACGCACGCCTATTTAGTTGTGGAACTGAGTCTGTCCTATGGAGCTGAGGGGCAGATGATAATTCTCACGAATGTCAACATCAGTGAACTTGCGTGTTGCTGGAATAGATTGGGTGGGGGAATGTGGAAGGACGTGTGGCCACAGAGCAGGTGGTTCACTCCACACTTTGGCAGACTCCAGATTCAGCAAACCTTACCTCTCTCAGATACTTTTCTGGAGTTTTCAGGGGACTGTGAAGAGTTCACAAACCTGTCTGGAACTCAGCATCCCTGAAATCTGTGGAGACATGAGAGAACAAGAGAATGGACCTCACATTTTCACCTACTTAAACTTCTGGGTCTTGAATAGTCTTGCATCTGGGTCTCGGTTGCTCCATCTACAAAATGGGCTCATGAGGTCTGCCTCTCGGGCTGGCGAATGGGCCGGCGATGATGGGTGGGAAATACCTGCCATTAGGTGGTGCTGTGGCAGTGCCTTCAGGTCCTGTCTACCCTCCTGTCTTGTCCTATAGGGTTAGAAGCAACATCTCAGAAGTAGATAGAACGCAGACAGCCTTTTTTTGCTCTTCATTTCTGACTGAAGACCAGCATCCTACTCAGCATCACTTCCTCTCATCGCTTCCGACAGAGGCAGGGATTAGGATTTGGGGGACTGTTCCCCCATTCTTCCAGCAGGTGTTTCTCCTCTGGGAAGGTATGGGTAACACCAAAAAGAGTGTCCCCAAATTCAGCCACCCTTAACTTCTGAAAGGATGTGTGTCCTATGACCCGAGGTATTTGCCACATGTGGAATTGTCTCCCTAAAGGAAATTATATACTCAGAAACTCTAGTGCCTTAATTGAATCTTCCAGCTGAATTCAGCGATTAATAAATGACTCTCATCTTACTTCCTGCCAAAAGGAGAGCAACTCCATCTTTGACAAATGTCTGTACTCCTGCAAGCTCCTTTCGCCTCTAGGGACATTCCCAACGTTGTAAATTTAGATTATACAAAATGCCTCAGCAACAGCATGAACATAGGGTGGTGATTCCGGGGACTAATAATTGCTGCTTATCGAACATTGTACATTCAGCGAGGCACTGTGTGAAGTGCTTCTTTTTTAAACCTAGAGTTGTTTATAGTATAATGGAAGAAATAGATGATGCATAAACGGTTACATACAGTTCAAGGAGAAGTATGCCGTGAGCAACCCAGGGAATGCAGACCACCCTTGAGTTGGGGGTTAAAGAACACGGAAGCTGTTGTCGTAACCTTCCCAGGTACGGGAAGGCATTTGTTTATATGTTGTTTGTTTTATCGTTTAGTAGGAACAGTTAGTGTGAGAAAGGGGAAGCCAAAAGCATGAACAATGGCACACACCCAGTACCAAGACTGAACTGCTTTTTGCCACACATTATCTCCCTTAATTCTAACAACAGCCTTTTGAGGTAGGTAGTACTATGTTAGCCTGTTTTATAGGTGATCGTGTTCTAGAACTGTCCGGACATTAAACAGACCATCCATGCCGAGATTCGAACCCTCACTGTAGGCCAATGGAAGCTGTATTTTAAACAGTCCCCTGAACTCCCACCCAAAATGGCTGCAGTGCTTCACAATTTTCCTAGGAGCTTCTGTGCAGGAGGTTCCAGAGCCGCAGTGTGAGTTCTTGAAAAACAGCAGACTGACTCTTATCGCACTGGGACAGCCTGAGATAAACCAGGAGACCCACATCCTTTTGCAAGCCTTCGAAGCCTGGGTTCAAAAACACCCAACATAAACTCAAACAGAATGAGTGACATTCCCTTGGGGAAGAAGCTCTACATCTCCATGGAAACCAACTTTGGGAGAGGGTTTGTTATGTCTAAACATCCAAGGGGAGGGTGGTTCTCCTTGGGCCTGAGTGCAAATAACTAAATGTTGCAGAGGTGGTCTTGAGCAAAGGCTGTAGGAGCCACATGGACTAAGGCCATGGCTGGCACCAGGCACCAGGCCGAGTGCATTTATAGGAAATGCTCACTGAGCCCACACTTGCTCTTTGAGGACTTTTGTCATTTATTAAGAACTCACCTGGTAGATAATGAAAATGCTTTTTTGCATTTGTACACTGTTTTATAATTTCCTCAAGCTTGACACATGCTGCCTTCCTTCTGAGATTGGGGTTGGGTCTCATGGCTCTCATCTTCCAGTTGAGCATCCAGGAAGTCATGGAGTGCACAGAGAGGTAGAAGAGTTGTAGAAATCCCAGGTGCTCCCATCTCCCACATGGCATGTCCAGCCTTGGAGAGGTGCTTTTGTGTGGATTGCATCCTCCTAAGCGATCCTCTGGCTGGGAGGAGAGGGGTGAGCTGGGGGTACCTGGGCCTGGATGATGTGCCTCTGTGGCATCTGGCCTTTTGGAGGTCTCACTTGACATGTTTTTCTGTCTGTCTGTCTCTCTCCCTCCTCACACTCAAAGGGTGCAGTTAGTGGATTTATGTTTCCCCTGAGATCTCATTGTCCTAGGAGAGGGCCTGGGTATATGTAGTTGACTAAGGCTGGCTGTGGCCTGGGCTTCCAGAGAAATATTTGTTGGCTTCTCCTTGGATCCATCTGTTCTTCCCTTTTCTTGTTTTAGGGTGAGAAGGCTTTGAATCCCAGAGTGGAAGTGGGGGTCCAGGAGGCTACCTGCCTGAGACACTGTGGTTGGCCTGTGGTCTCCTTGCTACAATGTCCATCTAACTCCAGAGTCACAAATCAGGGATGCCTTGAAGAGGTTAGAGACCCAAACACAAGCCCTTAGTAACAAACACTGTGATTCTTGTGGGGACCACACTTACTCATGTCCTTTGGTGGCTAGCTGGCGAAGTTTGGGGAATTGAAGATGGTAAACAGTCCTCTGTTATCTACTTCCATTTCAGAGACCTGGATGACACTCTGCGGCTAAAATTCTGACTTGCTAGGGGTAATAGTAGTGCTCAAGAAGGCTTTTCCCTGGCTAAGTTTGTAGGGTCATCCAGCGGGTAGGTGACATGTTTGGCCCTCTTGGGGTCGTTGCGGGGCCTTGGAGTGCCAAGGCAGCCTTTCCCAAGCCTGTGTAAAGGTCATATACCTCTCTGACCATGTATTTGTTCCTCTGAATAGTTTGGGCTTTAGCCTTTTGGGACAAAGAACAACTGCTCTGGCAAACTTTCAAGTGCCTAAGTGCCTCTTTCTTTTGTAAAAAGTTATCACTTAAAAGCCAAGCAGAAGGAGTTGTGGGTTGTGATTTGTCAATATCTAAAGGAAAACCAGGGCTCAGAAGAGGGGCTTCTACTTATCTGTGGGGAC